GCGTTAGCAAACGCCAGGCTCCCTTTTGATAAAATACACTCCAAGAGTGCACTATATGTCTCATTTTTAGGATATACCCAAGATTCCAAACTGTCTCCTTTCCTGGAACGTCTCTCATTTTCACTTCCTCAGAATCTTCAAGGATTTTTGCAGGGACAAACTTGGTGGATTGCACTTTTTAGAGGCATCCTTGCCTAGCTCCCCACATCCTCGCTGCAAAGCGGGTTTCTTGGGGTGCCAGACACTGGCTTTTTTCTGCCTTTCTTCTCAGTGCTGCAGCTCAGATTTGTATTTCAGCTTCTTGCCGGAGCATCTCATCCGTCTGTGGTCCTCTTATTTCTCCAGTTTCTTCAATTGAGTCTTTTCCCTAAGTGCCTTTCCAGTCTTAAAATCACTTCTAATTTCAAATTAAACTCACTTCTGAATTAAAATTTTAAATCGCTCAATTTTTAATTGCTATAAGGATTTGGAGAATACTACTATAATTTTTTTGTCTTTTGTGTTAAGACTAGAGTTCAAAACATCATTATTCATAACATTTCAAGTCTGTTTTGGGCAAATGGTCCAAATGCTATCCTCCCACTGACACAGTATCTCCTTACTAGTAATATCTTCTTATAAACAGAACTAGTTCAGTTTGAAACATTCCTTTTGGAGCCAAGTATAAACATTATCTAAATGTTGGGTGTAATCCTAGATTGAGAAGGAATCTGTGTGGAATTTGTTTTGAAGTAACTGATGTCCGTATCTGCTCAATTCAGAAGTCTTTGCTAGTATTAATTGCCATCGAGATTTCTTCGGCTGCAATAAAAAAATAATATTTGAACTGACTCGGAATAGTAGCTCTGGTTCTTAAACGTTTTCAGTGAGTTAAAGTCTCAAAGATTCAATGATCATATACAGTTTTCAGCATCTTATCTGAAAAATGTAGGTGGATTGATACCACCTGAGCTTTTGTCATGGTTGTACAAAGCCATTTATTATGTCTTACAACCTAGGTATGTCAGGAACTTCTAGTGCCCACCGATACGCACTTTCTCCTCTCCTCCCTTGGCACAGTGCTGGACTTCATTTCCAAGCTTCTTGCAGTGACATGGTGCCATGCGGCTGAGTTCTGGCCAATGAAATGTGGACAGAAAATCCTATGGAGGACTCAAGAGCCCTAGAAGATGGTAGAACTATAGACGAAAGCTTGAGTCCCTGAACGACTGTGTGGAGCAGAGCACAGTCTCCCACCCCCACCCCTTAATGGCATTAGACCATAATGTAAGGGAGGAATGGACCTTTACCCTAATTTCACTATGTATTTATTCCTTTATGCACAGATTCCAGCGTGGCATGAGCAGAATGGGCACAAATACATCACACTGCCCCTGCCCCTTGCTATGCTTCCGCCCGTAGTAGGGGTGGGGAGGGGGCTCATATTTGGACACAGGAGGCAAGTCTCAATGATGGAGCACACAAAATGCTGGGATGCGAGAAAATGATGAGTCAGCGCAAGTTAGAGAGTCCCAGCCGAACAGGACCCCTCGACTCCCCCCTCCCACTGCCACCCCTGCCATCCCCATAGCCTGTCAATCTCTCTGTCCTACTTTTGGATTTTTCACACGCTGGTCACCCTATACTAATTACATAGGTAATTTTTCTTTTCTTTTTCCCACTCAAAAAACATTCCCCTAATCACATATTACCTCCTCCATAAGCTTATCATGACATCTTCCACTCCCAGACAAAGTCAGGTGCAGACAACACCCCATACAAATTGTTACTATTTGATTATCACACTGCACTGTGATTACTGGTTCGAGTGTCTCTTCCACTGAGGTGTAACCCCTTGAGGGAGCTCTTATGGGCTCTATATTCTCAGTTTCCAGCACAGTGCCTAACACATAGCAAGGACTCAACAAATGTCTATTGAATGAATGAAAAAAAACATAGTTTACCAAATGTCAGTGTACCAAGACTCTTTTAACTGCTTGTTATAGAAATCCAATTCAGATTGGCTTGAGTAGGAAAAAAAAACTTGGCTCACATATTTAAAAAAATCAAAAAAGAATGTCACGTATGGCTTGATCCAGGTGCTCAAAAAAGGTGGTTAGGAATGTCTCTCCATTTCTTGTCTCTGTCTTTCTCTGTGTTGGCTTCATTCTCAGACAAGCTCACCTCTTCTGGAGACAAGACAGTCACCAGTAGATCCATATTTCCCTTCTACAAGCTGAGCAACCCCCAGAGAAAAAAGTCTCTTTCCCAACAGTACAACTCGACTATGGGCAGAGGCATAGCAAGGGGCAGGGCACTGTGATATATTTGTGCCCATTCTGCTTATGCTCTGCTGGAATCTGCCTGCAAATGAATAAATACATAGTGAGATTAGGGTGTTCACAATCCATGTTCAACAAATCTAAAAAAAGAAATTCATGGTAAAACTGAAGGAGGGAAATGTCCAACAGGCATCTTTGTGGTAACCCCATAAACTGCTTACCAGGGATATTAGTCCCACTCTGTACCCCTTCATGAGGCTTCCTGCATCTCGCCTCCTTGTTCTGGCCTTTGGGTTCCGTGATGTCCAGAAGGCAGGGGCCACCGCGAGGTCCAGCCAGGGCTTGACTGCCGGGAAATTGCTCGCAAATCCCTTTGGGGACTTCCAGCCCCACTTGTTCCGGAAATCAATGTCTTTTTCCCTTCCTACCCTGTTTCTTCCTCCAGGCGTGCCTCTGAACCATATCAGCACCTGAAGAACGAGGTAGACACTTTTCTCACCAGATTCCAGGCTGATGTATAGATTCTCTTCACTCTCTTTCCTTTTAAGGCTGGGATCAGAGCAGGCCAACGGTATCGACAACAGCATTCCTAGTTCTGGGATGACAGGGTCCCTGGGACATAAAGTCCTAGAAACCTCCAGTGGAATCTGGGACGGCTGATAAAATTATCTTGTAATGAATAAATTATTCACTGTTCCTTACTAAGTGGGGTAGTCTCCACTACACTCTAAAACGATTTAAAACTGTTAAAAGCCTCTCATTCAGGGAGAATTCTGGCTCTACACATTTCTCGAAGCCCTTCCTTTTATTACAACATGAACCGATGAGTAAATCCTTTAAGAAAATCCTGTGCCGACTTCAAAATAAACACAAAACACTATAAAGCACCTTATCCAGTCCCCCAAGTGGACTTGAATCTATTTCTCTGCTATCTTCCTATAACCGTCCGTATGTTCAGTAGAGCCCTTCTCAGTTCAGCCTCATTTGTCTTCCCTTTTGCATAAAAGCCCCTGAAACGCAGCGTCCAGGTCTTGTTCCTTTCTGTTTCTTCTGCTTGGCCTTGGCACATAGCCCGTGCTGGGCCCCACCTCACTCCTGCCTCTTCTCTCTCCCCCGCTACTGCCCCCACTGCTGTAGCCCCTTGGTCCTCACATGCACGCCTGGCCTGCCTCGGCCTCTGGAAGCAGAATCAAGTCCATTAGAATGTAAGCTCCAGAAGCTCACTGTCTTACTCTGGGCAGAATCCCCAGGGCTAGCAAAGTGCCTGCCACCTAGTAAACTCCCAGTAAGCATTTGTTGAATGAATGAATGAATGAAGTTACGGTTGCTGTGAACCAATGTCCCACCTTCTGTTCAAGTTTACTGGACTAAGCTTATTTTGAATCCCCCTGCACTCCAGCACCTGCTGATGGGCTGTGCTGCCTGCTTGTCCTCCTGACCCTGGCATTCTTGGCTCTGCCTCCCTTGGATTTCTCATTGTCTTGCTTTGCCACCTCCTGGCTTCACCTTGCTCCCTACGTGTTGCGTGTCTGCCCAGCCTCTTTCCTGCTGTTGCCATCCTCTTTGGACACATATTTAACTCCCCAGACTGACCCTTCCATCTCTCCTCCCAGCCCTTCCCATGGGGGCCCTGTCACTAGCTCTGGACTCTCCTAGTCAGCGGTCTCATTCCATACCCATGGTGCTCCGTAAATACAGATGAACTGAATTGCATCTTTTGGTCTCTCTCTTCAGTCATCAGGTAACTTGGAGGAAATTTAATTATTTTTGCAAAACTGAAATCTGGTGCCCTATTTCATAATGTGTATCTTACTCCAATCACACCATAAAAGAAGACCATATATCTATTATATGCCAGGCACTGTAAAGCATTTTCCCCCAAATTGGACATTAGTGTTGCTCTTTAAACTATGCATGCATTCCTACCTTATTTAGATCATTTAGCAGTGTTTATATATTGCTTTGTTTTGGAGCCCTAAAATAAATTATTTGATAAAATCAATTCATAAGATTTTTTCTAGGAAAGGAGTAAATAAACCAGGATCATTGTGATTAATTGGTATGTGACTAGTCTTTTCATTGTCCATTAACAGATGTAAAATACTAATATTTACATTTCTAGGAGGCCAGGAAAAGTATGACTGGACCTATAAACAGATTAATATGGTCGAGGGGCACATATTTGTCCAGTTAGAACTTAAAGTTTGCCATTAACTACATGTTTCGCTGGCATTCATGCTATGTTTTTTAATAGGCAGCGCTTGGGTAGCTGAATCCAACAAGGAACTGCTTGTCTCCTGAATTCCAGGATGTCAGATACTGAGGGGGAGGAGGGCGTGTGCCTGTTTCGGGGTTTGACAGGTACCAGCACAAGCAACAGGAGGTTGAAGGATGTGCACAGTCAAATCACCCCACATCCCTGCCCGGAGACAGGATGCGCGAGGTCTCCTCTCTGGCGTCCGCTCTTGGTCGCTTGTTGGCGTGTTATGCTAGTCTCGCTATCACCAGACATCACGGGGAGTTTTATGTCTCGGATGAGCAGAGTTTAGGTGATGGGCTGCTGCCTCTCAGGAGGCTCTGAGAAGCGCATTCCCCGTGCTTGGGCTCCAAGCATTGCTCGCCTTTGTTAGAACTGCAAGAGAGAAAAGTGTACAGTGGGTTATTTAGGGTGCTCCTTTTCCATAAGCTGCATATTTCTAATGAGAGGCTGTGATAACGAAGCTGCATATTTTCTTTCAGGTGAGTTCCAATGACCTGGCTCACAAAGGGCAAACATGAGCACCGCGGCCCAGGCTGAGACAAGGATGGCTCCGCCCTCTGGGCACAGCCCCTTTCTAATCAGTGCACTGGGCATCTTTGTACTCGGCTGCTTCACGAGAGGTCAGAAGAACAGCACGCTCATTTTCACAAAGGAGAACACCATTCGGAACTGCAGCTGCTCTGCAGACATCCGGGACTGTGATTACAGTTTGGCCAACCTGATGTGCAGCTGTAAAACCGTCCTGCCTTTTGCAGTAGAGCGAACCAGCTACAATGGCCGTCTGACCATCTGGTTCACAGACACATCAGCACTGGGCCTCCTGTTGAACTTCACGCAGGTCCGGGACCTGAAGCTGTCTCTGTGCAGTACAAACACTCTCCCTACTGAATACCTGGCTATTTGCGGGCTGAAGAGGCTTCGCGTCAGCACCGAGGCCAAGCGTCCCTCCCCAGAGCAGAGCTTACTCATCCACGATGGTGGGGAGAGCGCACCCAGAGAGAAGCCCATGTTGTTACACAAAGGCTGGCAAGCATGTATGTATATCTCCTTCTTAGATATGGCCCTTTTCAACAGGGAATCATCCTTAAAATCATATAGTATTGAAAATGTTGCCAGCATTGCCAATAACTTCCCTCATTTTTCTTACTTTAAAACTTTCCCATTTCTAAGCAACAGAAGCTACGTTGTCACAGTCATTTACTAACATTGTAACTGTGTCCAACCACCACGAATTTTGCCAAACTGTGGATAATTTGAACAAGGAATCTGGGAATAAGGCCATGGGTATCCCTATCCACAACTTTGCCTCCCCCGAGCCCCCATTCGCAAATTCACATATTCCTAGAGCCACGCACACACACATAACCAGCCCTCTCTGCTCTATTCTGCACCCAACCACAGGAGCTGTTTTGAAAAACAAAATAAAAAGAAACCAAAAAACCAACTTGTCCAGTCCAGAAACATGTCTTGAGGGCCAGCTGGAGGCTAGGTCCTTGTAACTGGGGGTCTGTGGAGAAATGTCAGATCAGAAATGGAGAAAGCAGGGCACACCAGGGACTGCTTAGTGGAGCTCAGCAGAGGGGATGACCTCCCAGAAAGGTATCTTCCTACAAAACACTTCCTTAATGTTTTTCTGCTTCATTCTGTTACATGGCCTGGAATTCTAAGTAGAGAATGATAGACTTCAGAGATTTGGGGACTATAAACTCCACAAAATGATTAGGTTCTCTTAGAGTGACATTTTCCAAGTATCTTACTAAGAACAGATACATTGAGAAAGGGGAGTTTCTTGAGTGTGTTTGTGGAGGGGGAGAGGGAAGGTTTGAAGCTTGGAGGTAGAACAGGCCGGGATAGTGTGGGGCCTTAGGACCCAATGAAGGCACCAGGGTTCAAGGAGGGGGATACAGAAATGAAAATTACAGGCCACAAAAACCATTGCATATACCTCAAATTTTTGCTTAGAGCAAGGCCTAAACCCTGGGAAAGTTTCCTCTTTTTGCCCTTCTCTTTCCTTTCCTTCTTCTTTGCCTCCTTCTATCTTTGTCCTTGAAACATCACTTCCCCCTTTCTCTTCTCATTTTCTTCATCCACTTTCTCCTCCTCATCTTCCTCTTGCTGCAGAAATCAGAACTTAGATTAATACCTTTAGAACTATGTTTAACTACATTAGGGGCTAGCCTGGGAATCTAATAACCACTCGTAAAACATTATTCCAGTGGGTAAAAGTCATGTTACTGATAAAAATGACAAAAGAACTTTTACAACTCAGTCCATTTGGAAGTTTCAGACTGTAACGTGAAGACACTTTGCATGACATAGTTAACACAAAATGGTTTTATGTGTGTCGATACAAGGAACTGAGGCAACATATTGGTTTTTTTTAAATAAAGTGACTCATCATTGTACAAAGAAAATTTTCCCTAGAGACCCAACTTACTGTTGAAGTGGAATATAAAGAATCCATGGTAATTATGGTACAAATGTCTAAACTCAGAGTGCAAAGAAGTTGAAAGACTATTGCATGTGTGATACCACAATAAGAAATAGTTTTATTACAAAATAACAGGATGTCTTAGGGTTGATGACTTTGGACTACATTCATCACATTTTTCTCTTAACTGTAACATAGAATAACTGAAATAACCTGAAATGTCTAGATTTGCTTAATTGGTGGGGGATTTGGCCATTCGAGCTAATTAGCAGGAGTCCATAATGTCAGTGTTTAAATTAGGCCAAAACTAAGATCAAAGTATAATTTTAATAGAAAAATGTAATGACCTCATTACTGACATTGTACTTGAGAGGTAAGATTAGTGATAGAAAAAGACAAAGAAGGGGAAAAAAAAAAGAAGGAGAAAGGAAGGCAAGAAGAATATAAGTGAAAAGATTAGGAATAAGTATATTTATTGTCACTAGTTAATGAAAATGTAACAAATTTAATTTTAATGGATTTTTATTAATAAAGTATAAAATTAATGATGTTATAAAGTATGGGCATCTTATTGTACATATCTTCCATTTGGTGGCTTTTAATAGTTTCAAAGCCCTTTCACATACGTTTTAAGTGATTCTTTTTTTTTTTTTTTTTTTTGGTGAGGAAGATTGGCCCTGAGCTAACATCCATTCCCAAACTTTCCTCTTTTTTGCTGAGGAAGATTAGTCCTGAACTAACATCTGTGCCCATCTTCCTCCATTTTATACGTGGGATGCCTGCCACAGCATGGCTTGACAAGTGGTGCATAGGTCCGTGCCCAGGATCCGAACCTGTGAACCCCAGACCACTGAAGGAGAGCCCACAAACTTAACCACTATGCCACTAGGCCAGTCCCTGTTTTAGTGATTCTTATAAGAAATAATTGTGGGTCAATGAGACTTAAATCAATAGAAAAGGAAAGTTAATTTAGTTATAAATCAAGCCTGAGGTTGCCACATTTCTGGACTGAAAATGCCAGAGGATAAATAAGAAGCAGAGAAAATCCACAGCACATATATGGGGGGAAGTGGCATTTGGTGCTCAGCCAAAGGGTTAGGGGGACAATTGGGAGTGGTGGGGATAGTGGCAAAATAAGAGTGCATGCCCCATCTGAAGGATCCACAGGAGCCCAGCCCTGGCTGAGTGTTTCCATGGGAGAATACAATGGGGCCAGATCAGATCCTTCAAGAGAATTAGGAATTACAGGTTTTTGTATGAAATCTCACAATTTGTAAATGTTGACGCATATTCCAGTTTTTGTTTGTTTGATGCTTTAACTAACACTGTATGGGTCAAACAAACCATGTCAGTGGACCCCATCTAGCCTGGGGTAGTCATTTGTCACCTCTGATCAGTGGTGTGCTGGTAAAAGTTTAACTATCAGCATTCCAAAAAATATATAGATAGATAGATATAAATTTATAGATATGTACACAAGTTTATCACAAATTTTACAGATATAAAGAAAGTGTAGCACACAATTTACAAATAATAATAAAATATATAATACTCTGTTATAAAGTCTATCTAAACAATTAATTCTCAAAGAACACTTTAGTTCATTTTTGCCAAACTCTTGTATCCAAAGCCAACCTTGGGTTGTAATTGATGAGCATGAGCGAGTATAGTTCTGGCATAAATGTTAGTTGACATTTTCATTTAAGTTAGGAGTAAGAGGAAAGTTAAACAACAAAGATGTATGTGGGAATGTCACTTGTTAGTCAATGATGTAAGCAACTTCTTTGTTGAATCAAATAATAGTTTCAAATACTAGAGGAATATTTCCTCAATTTGGGGTACTATTCACAATGTAAGGGCTAGAGACATGATATACTTTTAAGTTTAACTTGCATTGTTAACATTTTCTTCATCATACTCAACAAAACAATTAATCAAACTCTAATATATAGTGTTCTCCAATTTCAGTGGTGTAAATACTGTCACCATAACCAATTTCAAGCTACCAAGAGAAGTCGTTGAACACAGAGTTGACAAAAGACCCACAGTAGGACATCATTATACAGCATTTCTACACTACAGATACAATAGGCACAAATAACCTCAAGAGCATAAATAATAGTAAAATGTAGTAGAATAATTAAGAAGTGATGATGTTGAGGATTCATTATCTTTGTGTGTAATTTATTTCATTGTAAGTTTATGTAATTTAATTTTTCATAATGACTGTATTTAACAACCAGCTTGCAAAATTCCTGAAAATTTAATAACCAGCTCTCGTGAGCCAGTACAAGTCCACCCCAGCACCCCACTGATTCTGGTAGAAAGAAATCTACCAGATCTGGGAACTGAGTGAAGACAGTGACTTCAAGGTGTAGAGGGTCACTTGCAGTATTGAAATGCCTAATTTCCTCACTTGCCAGCACTAGAGGTGGGAATTTTAGGAAATTTTCCCTCACTTTGCAAGCAGTAGCCCACTCTTCAACATTAGGAGTCACAATTCTGAAAGCCCTTCAGGTAGGAGATGGGTGTGTTCAGGAATTTAAGGCCATACGAGAAAAACGAGTTAGGGGTTAAAACTCTTGAGTGAACCTCTGAAAGCCCCCTGAAAGGAAGGAAGGAACAAAGGAATGGAGAAAAGATATTAATAGCATTTGACACACATTAAAATAAAAAGGGGGCCGGCCCCGTGGCTTAGCGGTTAAGTGCGCGCACTCCGCTGCTGGCGGCCTGGGTTCGGATAACGGGCGCGCACTGATGCACCACTTCTCTGGCCATGCTGAGGCCACGTCCCACATAAAGCAACTAGAAGGATGTGCAGCTATGACATACAACTATCTACTGGGGCTTTGGGGGAAAAAATAAATAAAAATTATTAAAAAAATAAAATAAAATAAAAAGGGGAGTTGGGCAATCAATTTTCATTTCCCAGACTTGCTCACCGATAACTTCAGGATCTCTCTTTCTGCAGAATTTACAGAAGGACATTTGTAAATCTAACTTGATTTGTTCAGGAAAAACAGTGTGAAGAGGCCTTTTTGTTTTATGCTGAGCCTGTTCTCTAGTCAAATGTTTAATGCGTTTTAAATTTAACCAGAGTCCCTAGTCACAACTCAGAATGACACCCAAGTCATGTACAGAAATCTAGACTCTAGGAAAGCAATGTGGGGAGCTGGCTCTACAGAGAGTAGAACGTATTATAAAGCCTTACCCATTTACACAACACAGGCACAGCAACACAGAGACAAATAAATAAAGCAGTAAGGACAGCTCAGAAATGGACCCCAGATTTTTTAAAATTACTACACGTTAAGAGTAAAGTCACAAATCCACGGGAAAAGGGAAAGTAATTCAATAAATGGTGTTTGAAGCAAAAAAAGATTAGAAGGATACATACTAAAATAATAACAGTATTGTGTCTGGGTGATGGTATTAGAAGTGATTTTTACTTTCTTCCTCCTGAGTATCTTGATTTTCTAAATTATTTGGAATAAACATATAATCACTTTTGTAAGAGGGAAAACCCAATAAGACTATTTTTACATAAACAAATGATGTTGGCACAAGTGCTTAGTACTTCAAGTTACAGCCTTATCTCCTGACACACACCAGAATGTCCAGTTAGATAAGATTAAAATGAAACTGTAAAACAACTTTAAATTAAGGGAAACAAAAAGATTAACAATCTATTAGAACAACAGGGAAATTAAACATGCAAGTCACATGAGACGAAACCCAAATAGCCAATAACTGAATTAAAAGATTACCTCTCAGAGAAATGCAACGGGATACTTATATTTCATCCATTAGATTGGCAAAAAAGTTACTTGGTATCAAGTGTTGTCATGCTTATAGGCATACAGATATTCTCATGCAGTGTCAGTGGGAGAATAAACTGGTATAGCCACTTTGAAGTACAGTTTAGGAATATGTCTTACAATGCGCACAAGCTAGACGTCAACAATTCTACTTCTCTGTATTTACTGTAGAGAAACCGTCCCC